TATGTCGGAGACAGGACAACAGACAGACAAAGAAAGTAACAGACTGGGCAATAACATAAAGAAACCAAGGGCCAGACCAATGACAAGATGGCGTGACAAAATAATGTAATTTGGGGGCCATGACTGGAAAAAAAAAATTGCAAGACAAAGTTGGAAAAGACTGGGAGAGGCCTACGTCGTGCAGTGGATTGATTCAGGCTGATGATGATTACGATGATGATGATGATGATGATGATGATGATGATGATGATGATGATGATGATGATGATGATGATGATGATGATGATGATGATGATGATGATGATGATGATGATGATGATGATGATGATGATGATGATGATGATGATGATGATGATGATGATGATGATGATGATGATGATGATGATGATGATGATGATGATGATGATGATGATGATGATGATGATGATGATGATGATGATGATGATGATGATGATGATGATGATGATGATGATGATGATGATGATGATGATGATGATGATGATGATGATGATGATGATGATGATGATGATGATGATGATGATGATGATGATGATGATGATGATGATGATGATGATGATGATGATGATGATGATGATGATGATGATGATGATGATGATGATGATGATGATGATGATGATGATGATGATGATGATGATGATGATGATGATGATGATGATGATGATGATGATGATGATGATGATGATGATGATGATGATGATGATGATGATGATGATGATGATGATGATGATGATGATGATGATGATGATGATGATGATGATGATGATGATGATGATGATGATGATGATGATGATGATGATGATGATGATGATGATGATGATGATGATGATGATGATGATGATGATGATGATGATGATGATGATGATGATGATGATGATGATGATGATGATGATGATGATGATGATGATGATGATGATGATGATGATGATGATGATGATGATGATGATGATGATGATGATGATGATGATGATGATGATGATGATGATGATGATGATGATGATGATGATGATGATGATGATGATGATGATGATGATGATGATGATGATGATGATGATGATGATGATGATGATGATGATGATGATGATGATGATGATGATGATGATGATGATGATGATGATGATGATGATGATGATGATGATGATGATGATGATGATGATGATGATGATGATGATGATGATGATGATGATGATGATGATGATGATGATGATGATGATGATGATGATGATGATGATGATGATGATGATGATGATGATGATGATGATGATGATGATGATGATGATGATGATGATGATGATGATGATGATGATGATGATGATGATGATGATGATGATGATGATGATGATGATGATGATGATGATGATGATGATGATGATGATGATGATGATGATGATGATGATGATGATGATGATGATGATGATGATGATGATGATGATGATGATGATGATGATGATGATGATGATGATGATGATGATGATGATGATGATGATGATGATGATGATGATGATGATGATGATGATGATGATGATGATGATGATGATGATGATGATGATGATGATGATGATGATGATGATGATGATGATGATGATGATGATGATGATGATGATGATGATGATGATGATGATGATGATGATGATGATGATGATGATGATGATGATGATGATGATGATGATGATGATGATGATGATGATGATGATGATGATGATGATGATGATGATGATGATGATGATGATGATGATGATGATGATGATGATGATGATGATGATGATGATGATGATGATGATGATGATGATGATGATGATGATGATGATGATGATGATGATGATGATGATGATGATGATGATGATGATGATGATGATGATGATGATGATGATGATGATGATGATGATGATGATGATGATGATGATGATGATGATGATGATGATGATGATGATGATGATGATGATGATGATGATGATGATGATGATGATGATGATGATGATGATGATGATGATGATGATGATGATGATGATGATGATGATGATGATGATGATGATGATGATGATGATGATGATGATGATGATGATGATGATGATGATGATGATGATGATGATGATGATGATGATGATGATGATGATGATGATGATGATGATGATGATGATGATGATGATGATGATGATGATGATGATGATGATGATGATGATGATGATGATGATGATGATGATGATGATGATGATGATGATGATGATGATGATGATGATGATGATGATGATGATGATGATGATGATGATGATGATGATGATGATGATGATGATGATGATGATGATGATGATGATGATGATGATGATGATGATGATGATGATGATGATGATGATGATGATGATGATGATGATGATGATGATGATGATGATGATGATGATGATGATGATGATGATGATGATGATGATGATGATGATGATGATGATGATGATGATGATGATGATGATGATGATGATGATGATGATGATGATGATGATGATGATGATGATGATGATGATGATGGTTCTGTTCGCTCTATGTGAATAGCAAGTTGGGAAATTGCTCACAAGGTAGCTTGAAGTGGCTGATCAAATCACAAACTGGTTGCTGAAAAAAAGCGCACGTGTGACCGTGCAGTTACATAGACCTTAAAAGGGGCAACTATGCATTGGTTCACATTTTCGTACTACAGTTTGAATGGATTGGAGTTTCTATACGATTTTTAAAAATTGAATAAAATCATTGAAGCATTATGCTGAAAATACCTCCCACCTCTCCCCCGCCAGGTACCAGAGGAGCGAGACCTGTGGCTTCATGTCAGCGCGAGAGAGCGACGACGAGGATTCGGACGACCTGACCTTGCACGCCTCCTCGGACCTCGACGACAACGGTACGACTTTTATCCTGTCTGTTTTTCTCTTCTCTATTTTTTCTCTTCATTGTTTTTTTCCTCTCTGTCTTTTCTCTTTTAATTTTCGTCCTTCTGTGGTGTGATGATTTGCCGGATATGTCTGTAGGTTCAAATGAAACCAGGGATCAAGGCTTTATTAAAGTACACAGAAGAGCACTTCGGTGTGCGCCCGTACTGTCAGCTCGCGGGCGACGTTCTGCCCGAGGCGTGTTGTTTCTGGAACATGCCACTAACAAACAAGTTGTTACATGAATGGAGGTAGATAGCTGCATGGTTAATATGATATAGAGGATAACAGTAATTGGTGTACTTGTTATGGGATGGTATATAGAGACTAATATATCACATATCTACACCTTCCACATTATTGCTCGTGTTCATGGCGATGTTCCCTGTTACTTCTGTGTCACAGACAACGCCGCTGTTTCCGTTGCAGGAGCGGCAGAGAAGGATCCGTGCCATCGCAGGAGCCCCGACGGGAGTCCCAGAGCAAGGGAGAGTGAGAGGAAAGGGCGCAGGGGCGACGGAGGCGAGGCGAGGGCGCGGCGTGGCACCGCGGGGGCGGCAGAGGGACGGGGAGCGTTCGGGGGCCACAAGTACATGAACTTCAGCTCCGACGACCTGCGTCTGACCACGTCCAGGCTGCTCGGGCGAAGGACCCAGACGCCCGGCGGCCTCGCGGACAGGGCTCTGCCGCAGCGCGCCCGTCTGCCCACGCTGGTGATCCCGCAGGAGGACGAGGAGCTGCGCTACGCCCAGCTGCAGCTCCGGACGCCGAGCACGCCGGGCAGCGGGACCCTCACTCCGGCCAGCAACCCCAAGTCGCCCGCCAGCACTCCACAGACGCCGGGACTCCTGTCGCCTACGCCCCAGATCCCCTGCACGCCCGCTTCGCCCGCCCTCTCCCCCGCTCCGCACCACAGCCTCAGCCCAGGACCCTCGCCGCATTCAGAACCCAGCCCGTCCCACGTCATCCTCAAACCCAGGGACTCTAAGACAGCCCTGGCAACACAGCGCTCCTACTCGAACCTCCCTGCTTTTGGCTTGAGCCTCGAGGCCAGCAGGAAAGCCTTCACCTCCTTCCGAGCGACTGGAAGAGAGGGCCTGGCGGCTCGTGCAAATCGACGGCCGGAGAGCGCGTCGGTCGGCGCTCTTCCGGCCACCGACGTGGCCGCGAGGCCGGCGCTGACGTCATCCACCATCAGCGCCCCCGCCACGCCTGTCGTCAGGCAGCGCAGTGGTGCTGCCTCTCTCGATGCGGCTGCGACAGCTGCTCCTTGTCCTGCCGGGCGAAATGACCCCCACAGACGGGGAAATGTCCCCATTCTCAGGAATTCCCGTTCATTCCAGCATTCCGTTGATGAAAGACACAAAGCTAAGAGGGACAAGCAGACGCCAGAGTCTAGTGGTACAGCGAGAGGGGGAGGGGAGTGCCTGCTGGAGGACGACGACGACTCAGATAGTTCACTGAGAAGCTTGCACGAGGTTTTTGTGACTGTGACTCTCCCAAGAGTGCGTCGTAAAGGCATAGATTTCCATGAGCAGGCACGAGAAGGGTATTCTTTAGAAGATATCGAGTTGTTGTGAACTATGATTTCCTCATCTGCTCGGTTAATTCTTACAGTTGAAAAAATTCATGAATGACATTTTGAAATACATCAAATAATTTATTTTTCTCGTCACGTTTTGCAAGTTTTACCAAAGATATTGCTCACTGATTTTAAGAGAAATGGCGCTGGAACGCCATAATCAAAGCCATATGGGGAGTTTCTAAGTGCCCATTGTTACCAAGAGAGCTAACAGGGGCAAAACAGCAAAAGGTCCCTGTAATATTGTTTTTTGTTTTTTTTTAGTGAATTTGATCCATTATTGACATGTAGACGGCAAAATACATTTTGCGTTGAATTAGTGCCTGTACATGATGACATAATAGTTCAAATGGAAAAGAAATTGCTAGAACTAATTTATAGTATGTACTGAAGAGGACACCTGCTTTGTGAAATTCCAATAACACGCATACGCATCACATCACCTGTGATAGAAGAGATGACCAGCCAGGTTTCCCAAACACATGAATGAAAAACACATTTCTTTAGGGACTCCTGAAAAGAAAAGTGAATAAATATGTGGTTATTTCGGGAAATATGATCCTTTTGTGTATATATACGTTAGTTTTGATAATGCCATAACAAATTATTTTGCATACAGCATGACAGCATGAGTACCTGGGTATAAAAAAGTTTAAATCACGTTAAAGTAGGTAAAGCAGGCCAACGAGAGAAAACGGGTGAGCAGAGGTCTGCAAAGGCCAGTAGAGAATCACCACTATTACTCCGCCCAAAATAATACAAAGAGCTTTATGACAATATTCTTAGTTGATGACTCCTTTGTCCCAGCTGCCGGCGACAACGAAAATTCGGTGTTGAATATGGCAAGAAATAAGTTTCCAAAAGAATATACCAACTTGGATTCTGGTGCCATAGGGGTACGCATCTGGCTCGATATCCGAGCATTAAGCCTCCTTACCCTTCTTTGCTATGCTATATGCGCTTTTTTCAGACGCAGCTTTTTGTTGCTTTGCCATTTTCCGAAGCCTGTGCGATAACAGTAACACGGAGTAACTTTTTTTCCATGACCGCCGAGAATAACGAGAAGGAAGAGGCACTCTAATGTCCCTCATGGCGACCGTCATCTCCAGGCATAGTTGACGAATGGCGACGTCGCCCTCTTGGACTGATGGAAATCCTGCAGCTACCGAACGAGCCTTCTTATCCTGAAGGCCGGCTGAGTCAGTCTCCCTCCACATGCTTTGTGCAATCAGGACAAGATGCCCACGTCACCGACACTCGGCAAGAATTTCCCTTGAAGAGACGTTCCCGACACCGCTCTCAGCCAGTATTTTCCCATGACAAAAATTTCCCACCTGAGCCTCAGCCATTCTTTTTTTCGTGATATGACCTTCCCGTCACCCGCCCCTCAGCCATTTTTTTTCCCATGACAAGACGTTCCCGTCACCCTCCCTTCGGTCATTTTATTATTCCACAAATTCTCGTCACCCTCCCTCTGTCTTTTTTTTCTACGACAAACCGTTCTTGTCACCCGTCACTCATCCTTTTCTTTTCTTTTTATATGACAAGACGTTCCTGCACCTCGGCCAGTTTTTTCCCATGACAAAACTTTCCCGTCACCCGCCCTCAGAACAGCTTTTGCCCATGACAAGACGTTCAAGTCACCCACCCATCGGCCATTTCTCTGCCATGAAAAGACCTACACGTCCCTCGGATCCAACGGTCATGAAATGAGAAAAAGAAAGTAGCATCGAGAAAATACTTCTTCGTGTTATTTGACGACTCAGTTGATTAACCGTTCTTTTTATTTTATGGAATTCCAGATGCCTGTGAAAAGGTAGCATTAAGAATGTAGATTTTTGTATCATTTGTTTCTATCATTCCATTTTACTGATCTATTATTCTCATGAAGCACCGAGTGTCTATAAAGTGTTCGAGGAGTGGTGAGTATTTATACAAATTTATAGATTAATAGATTAATAAAGTCAGGCCATGCTGTAATGTAGGGGTCTGCTAACTGTTTTTCATAATCAGTTTATTCTTGAAAATAAGTTCAATCTCCTTAATGAATTGTTACACGAATATGAATAACAATTAATGGGGAAAAAATCAACTTAATGGTTAATTCTCTTGTATGAGAGATCCAATGATTCGAGAAAAAAGTCACGAAAATAATGAAACTTGAAATAAATAAAAAACGAATAAATTGAACGTCCGAAAGGCACATTATTTTATTATTTAAGGATAAATACATGATCCCGGCAGCAAGGACAAAAAGCTAAAATAAGATATTATAGACTTTAGTATATCTATGGCCTTCGTGAGCTTAAAGAAGAGAGGAAAAGTGCATTATGTGTTCAGTCTATGGTTAAGTGTATGTACGGGATGTTGCCCAGTGCTTTGGTCCGAGTGTGGGGTATTGATCACTTTTTATGCAATCTTGGCGTTACTAATTGGTATATTCTTGGTGTAATTCGCTAAAACTAATTATCCCCTAATTGGCACTCTTGCGGTTATTCACTGGTCCTAACTGGCACTCTTTGTATTATTCCCTAGACCATCCTATTCGGAACCTTGTGTGCGAGCAGTAGGTCGAGCTAGAATTTTGTGGTCCTGCTCAGTTTACTGGCATTTTACGGGCTATTCCTTTGCCTGTTCTATCCATAACTCTTCATCTCGTGAAACAACAGTGCGTTGGGTTCCTCTAGATTTTAAAACACACCAGGCAGCAGTTAAGACTGAAGATCGAGCAAGAAAACTGACCACAAGCAAGAAAGGCCGGGAATTCTGACCATATTTTTTTTCCCCCGCATCAAGAATTTACAAGAGTTCTAAACGAGGACTAGTCTTAACGAAAATGTTACGTAAAAGAATGGACAAGAATGATCAGCATTTTATATACGTAAGCGCAGGATTCTTCAAGCAACCTGTCGGCTTCGCTTTGCCAGATTTTTGGTTTAACATTATTTACAAATCCAGATTTTTAACGGTGTACTTAAGACAATAAAGTTATGAAAAGACACTGTGATGCATGTGTTTGTGTGTTTGTCTTTATTTATAAGTTTGATAGTATATCAATACACTCACACGCGCACCCGCATGCACATGATATATATATCCTCTGATTATAAGGAAATAAACACACATGCACACATTCACTCATAATCAAAAGTTCAAATACACTCGAATCCCTATCATTTTTTTTCTACAGATCACCAAAGACACAGAAAGAGAGGAGGGAGAGAGAAAGAGACGGGGAGGGGGAGGGAGGGAGAGAGATAGGGAGTTGGAGGGAGGGGGAGAGAGGAAGGGAGATAAAAGGGGAGGGATGGAGGGAGGGGGAGAGAGACAGAGAGAAAGCTATCGAGCAAGCGATATTTACCGGATCAAGCCATATCCGCTTAAATCCTTTTGATAAGAATGATAATGAAAATCAAGATGATGTTAACGAAATTATACGATAAGTAAAAAATAATATTAGCAACAAAATAACAAAAGGGTGAACGTTCATAGACATACGTATATATTTACACAAGTACATCCACATATATAAACAGGCCTGCATGCATAGACATATACACTGCCGGATTAATAGAAAAGTGACTACAATCAACTTGGTATACATATCCGCGTGTGTGTGTGCTTGTGTGTGAGAGAGAGAGAGAGAGAGACAGAGACAGAGAGAGAAAGAGAAAAAAGTTGTATAATATATATATATATATATATATATATATATATATATATATATATATATATGTATATATATATATATATATATATATATATCCTGTGGCATATATAGCTCTCAAATCCAAGCTGCTGCTTTATTCCCTTTGACAGAGAGCGCTGCCACGTATGCCTCTTTCCACTCAGGTGGGACAGAATCCCCGTGCTACTCAAAGCGATTATTTTATATAAGGCTTTATTTTACATGAGGTTGTGACGTCGACAATAAAGTAAGCAAATAGGGAGTACTGATCAGCTGATCGGTTGCTGAAATCTGCCCTGTTGCTAATAGTCCTGCGTGTTTATTTATAAAAAAAAAAAAAATGTTTATATTCCTCTGTTCTTTGAAATATAGATCTATGTTTCCAACTTGGTTTGTTTTCTTGCCCCTCTCAAAGTTCATGGCAAGTGGATGTCAACCGAATGTGTTTCAATAGGTGGATGAACTTCACAAATGGACTAGCATACCGACTGGTGCAAAAAAAATGCTACACTTTTTACTACAAGGACGTGCATGCAAGAAATGACTTCATCACATCAACTTTCTAAGGTTTTCATAAGCTTCAACGATATATAAGTGACCGCTGAAAAAGGTCACCATGCCTAAATAGAATTACTTTTCCTCCTTTGTACATTAAGCCATGCATCCCTTTCTGCATGAATTAGAGAACGTAATCGTGTCCGCGAACATCTCCTCGGAGAAAGGAAAAGGGTAAGACGAAGGAAAGGTGAATAGGGAAATGAAGAAGTGGGAGAAAGGAAAACAAAGGAGAAGAGGTAGAACTTATAGGCTGGGAAGGGAGGGAGAGAGAGAAAGAGAGAGAGAGGAGAGGCAGAAACAATACAAAGAGAGGAAGGGAGGGAGAGAGAGAAAGAGAGAGAGAGGAGAGGCAGAAACAATAACAAAGAGAGGAAATGAGGCAGAGACAGAAATAGAGGAAAAGGCCCCAAACATCAGACAGTCATTGGATACCTTGAAATAAGAAATAAAAGGTTAATTACTTCTCGCAAAGAGATAATCCAAATACATATATGAATATATATACATACGTGTGTGTGTGTGTGTGTGTGTGTGTGTGTGTGTGTGTGTGTGTGTGTGTGTGTGTGTGTGTGTGTGTGTGTGTGTGTGTGTGTGTGTAAACAAAAAAGTAGAAAGGAATTTGTTTTTGCCATTAATTTTGGTACAATTCAACGCAACAAAATTCCATTAATCTTAAAATAAAAAAATATAAAAAAATGTGTATCTTGATTTGACATCAAAGATTAAATGAAATTACAAATGTATGATTATGAGAAATGGGAAATGCAGCATGAAAAAAAAATAAATAAATAAAAAAATAATTAAAAAAAACAGAACAAAAATTCTAAAACATGCAAGAA